TAGGGCTTGGCCTGCAAGCCCTTAACCATACGAGTGGCCCTTCTCTGGACCCTCTGCAGGTTATCCACATCCCTCTTGAAGTGTGGCGCCCAAAACTGCACGCAGTATTCCAACTGTGGTCTGACCAGAGCCCGATAGAGGGGCAGCATCACCTCCTTGGCTCTATTTGTCATGCACCTGCTGATGCATGATAAAGTGCAGCTAGCTTTTTTGATGACTTCATCACACTGATGACTCATATTCATCTTGTAGTCCACTAGGACTCCAAGACCCCTTTCCGCTTCCATGCTACCAAGCAGGTCATTTCCTAGTAGGTGTGCTGGACATTTTTCCTCCCTAGGTGCAGCACTTTGCATTTCTCCTTGTTGAATTGCATTCTGTTGTTTTCTGCCCATTTGTCCAACCTGTCCAGGTCTGCCTGTAGTTGTTCCCTGCCCTCCGGTGTATCCACTTCTCCACACAGTTTTGCAGCATCTGCAAACTTGGACAGAGTACACTTCACTCCCTCGTCCAAGTCACTGATGAAGACATTGAAGAGTATCAGTCCAAGGACTGAGCCCTGCGGGACCCCACTGCCCACGTCCTTTCAGGTCGAAACCGACCCGTCCACTACGACTCTCTGGGTTTGACCCTCTAGCCAATTTGCCACGCACCGGACTGTGTAATCATCCAAGTCACAGCCTCTTAACTTGTTCACCAGTATGCAGTGGAATACCGTATTGAAGGTGAACTCGGGTTCCACTTTCTTATCCATCATCAGCAACTCTCTTCATCAGCTTCTTAAGCTTTACCTTTCTAATCCAGCTGTCTGTGCTTTACAAATACAGTTTCCTTAATTACTTGCACAGATTACTTGCAGGGCCTTCTATTCATGTCTGAAGTGTGATACAAAGATAGAGCTGAATATACAGCTTCAGTCTGGTGCGTGCACCTAATAGCACAGTTCAAAGGAGCATTCACTCACCACCTTCTCCTCAGGAGAGGAGGGTGCAAGGGTGTGTGTATACGTTGGGTATTTTGCCCTACCACTTGCAGTGTTTGCCCCCTTCTCCTCTGGCACATGTCAAACAGATCATTTCCATGCGAGTCTTGGTCACATCCTTGTTGCTTCTGTGCAGGGCATACTGGGTAAGTCCCAGATGGACTTCCATTGCCCCTCTGCTACAATCTGGCTTTCACCTCTTCTTGACTATTAGTCCAAGATTGGCATCTACCTATGTCTTCTCGGACCTCTGTAGTCCCCAGTGGGCTGATGTGAAGGAATCACTTTATTGAGGCTATGAAAAAGGATGGTGGGGAAGGATCAGTTTTGCAGCAGAAAGTCTTCAACATGCCAACTTAAAATGGAAATGAAGAATCTAGCTCTGTTCCCACTGAGGTGGCTGCCAAAAATCTCCCTTGGCTTCCATGGAATCCAACCAGACGTCTGGCACAGATGTTGTTTTTAGAGGGCTAGCCCTGACCTGAGTGGTTTAGGTTCATGTAGGTCAGTCTGCTCCTTGAGGTCCAGGGTCCAGTTGTGCCTACTGCTAGGACCATCATCTCAAGGAAAATCAGGGTGCTTAGCTCCCTGCTTTTCGGTATCAAACCTGAAGAGAAGAGGTGAACAAGGCAGTGTGAGCAGGGGGTCCTGTTCTCACTGATGGTGTTGGAAGCCTGTCACCAACTTTAATAGGAGTGAATGGGCTGTTGGTGAGAAATCTGAGATGCAAAGCTACTTCAGGGCAAGGGGGACTAGCTAGTGTGGAAGCGGGAGGTAGTGAGCATGGAAAGGCATCAGAGCCCTGGAATAAATCAGGGAATCATAGATGCTGTAGGTTCAGAATCTGTGCTCCCAGTGCTTGGTTCCCTGTCTCTTCTGGGGCTTAAGCTTATTGACATGAACCTTGATGGAAGTGCTGAGGATGTGCAGAATGAATACTAGGGAGCTAGTGTCCTGTCTACCCAGTCTGCAGTTCCAGCACCTTCCTCACACGCTGCTTCAGAGGGTCTCCGTTAGAAGGATGGGCATGTGGGGCAGGAGTAGGTTACCTTTGCTATAATATGTCCATGCTCTTCCATATGAGAATGCAAGTGTTTCATAGCCACTTCTCCTGCACCATTCCCAACTGTTGTTTTACCTTGAAGACTCACCACAGATTACATTCCATCAGGTTAGTTCCCCATTTAGACTATTTAAATACAGTGTGGCCTTTCTAATCCAATTGGTATAAGATGCTCTTTACATACAAAAGATGCAATACATACATGCAAATGTCACGCATATCAGGGGCTGGGACACCTGGTAGAAGCAGCCTGGGCCAATGGCTTCTGTGTTTCCATTGTCCTCCCCCTGTTTCCTGTGGTGGTGACATGGTTCAGATCCCTCCCACTTCTTGTCATCCATAATCTCTCCACTCTAATTATCAGGAGCATCTGTACAGTGTCATTAATATGCCTTGTGCTTTACAGGCAAAGGGGGCAGTTTCAACCTAAGTGCAAGTGGGGGCAACACAATTGAACCAAAGCTGGGCTTGGCCTGTGACCGTGCCCCAGGGAGTCTGAGCAGAATGAATTAGTATGTGTTCACCTGACTGGAGCCTGTTAGATTTTCTGGAGTTCCTGGCTAAGCTGTAGCCTGGTCTGTTGTGTATGATGGGCCTAGGACACGGAGATGTGGGGCTGATGGAATCGGAAGCACAGTGCCCATCTAGACAGTTTTTGTGGGCAAGGACTGTCTATCACTGTGCAGGTACTTTGTCCAGCACAATAGACAGTGCTGAATTACACCGCACTCCAAACAATGTGTAGTAACGATGGGTCAGCTGTCTTATGATGGGAGAGGAGAGAGAATGTGTTGGGTGCAGTGGAGAAGTTAGGGTTTGCCCATGGGGGATAGAACAGCTCTTCCTGTGCTTTGTCCTCTTTCAAATGTACCGTGTCCTTTTTTCCTGATGACTTGGGCTGGTCTTTTGCTCTGCTTATGCGCTGGGGAGCTAGAATACCTCCTTGCTGCATGTGTTGCTGTGCTGTTCAGATCTTCCTGCAGATGATCTCAGAGCAGTTAATAAAATGCAGAATTTGGACTGGGTGAGGAGTTGGTCTTCAAGATGGGAAGCCAGGGAGCTGCTACGTTAATTGGCACTTCTGGGAAGAGAGGATCTCCCCCTGCCTGCTATCTGGGCATCAAAGTAGTTGATAAAGAATTCATGTTGAAAGGGGGAGGGGATGGAGGGATGCAGCACTTCCCATTGCACTGCTGGTACAGTAGTAAAAGAAGAAGTAAACCAGAACTAATCCCTCCCCTCGTCCCCAAGGGATGTGACCAGTATGCTAGCCATGTGCCCACTGGCAGCAGGTGCCTGAGACAGCCTATGTAGAGTATAGTCTGTGGACAAAGGCAACCAGAGATGCAGTGGGGACTTTGACCCAGTGTGGAGCAGTGAGGTGTATGGGAGATGTTGAAAACATGAATATGCCCCTTTGTAAGGGGTAAGGAGAGTTCTGAGGTTCAGGGGTTTGGAGATAGGGGAGTGTCCCCTTGGGGTCCCCCTCCCTGAGTGCTCTTTACCCTACTCTGGGAGGAGGCCAAGAGGCCCACAGTTCCATTCTGTGTGACCCAGAGGGTGCCCTGGCTGGTGAAAGGGGCAGTGATGGTTCCTCCCCATGTGGGACATAGGCAAACCTTCAACACTGACAAGTGCAGGGTAATGCACCTGGGGAGGAAGAACCGGTGGCACACCTACAGGCTGGGAAACTCCCTTCTCGCCAGTGTTGAGACAGAAAAGGATCTTGGAGTCATCATTGATGCCACAATGAACATGGGCCGACAGTGTGGGAACGCAGTCAGGAAGGCCAACCATACCTTGTCATGCATCCACAGATGCATCTCGAGCAGGTCCAAGGAGGTGATCCTTCCCCTCTATGCGACGCTGGTCAGGCCACAGCTGGAGTACTGTGTCCAGCTCTAGGCGCCGCACTTCAGGAGGGATGTGGCCAATATGGAGAGGGTCCAAAGGAGGGCCACCCGCATGATCAGGGGTCAGCAGGGCAGGCCCTACGAGGAGAGGCTGAGGGACCTGAACCTGTTCAGCCTCCATAAGAGAAGGCTGAGAGGGGATCTAGTGGCAGTCTACAAACTAGTCAGGGGGGACCAGCAGGCATTGGGAGAGTCCCTGTTCCCCCGAGCACTCCTGGGAGTTAGAAGAAACAACGGACACAAGCTAGCGGAGGGTAGTTTCAGGCTAGACATTAGGAAGCGCTATTTCACAGTCAGGGGGGGTAGGACCTGGAACCAACTTCCAAAAGAAGTGGTGCTGGCTCCTACCCTGGGGGTCTTTAAAAGGAGGCTGGATGAACATCTGGCCAGGGTTGTTTGACCCCAGTACTCTTTCCTGCCACGGCAGGGGGTCGGACTAGATGATCTTCTCAGGTCCCTTCCAACTCTACCAACTATGAAACCTGTGGGGAGAGATGCGTCTCAGATGGGACAGAAGGAGCTCTGGTGACGGGAACCTCAGAGATGCTCCCCTTACCTTTGTGGGGCACAGAGAGAGCCCCTCCTGTGTGAATGGAGAGGGCTGAGAGGTGATGGGTCCATCTACAGCTCCTAGCCTAGGTTTGTTTTATTTCCATCCTAATTCTTTTCTGTATTCTCCTCTGCAGACCAAGCGGACCCATTGGCTCTATTGTTTGGCAGTGGAGACCCCCTTCCACCCTCATTGGAGACCATCCATGCAGTGAGTGTGCAGACAAGTATCACCCTTTGGGTTGTGAATGACAGCAGGATCCTGGCAGGAAAGGACCCCCACAGAGGATCGTTCAGACCGTGAGTGTGCTTGAGACTTTTCTAGCCTGGAGCACAGGAGCATGCGGCCAGCTGTGGAGCTTCGCTCTGGCTTGTATTTTTGGAGAGGGCAGTCAAGACCATCTTAGAAAAACAGGGGGGGTTCCAGGCATGGCTGATGAACTCAGACTGGTGGGGCGGTAGAGCATCCCACGGGAGTGTGGGGAGGGGGTGGGGTTTGCAGCTGGCCGGGCACTCTGGCTGATAGCGGGGAGGCTGCAAACCCCCCCTTCTCCCTTGCTGCCAGCCGGCTGCAACCCTTCCTCCCCCGCCACTGCATCTGTAGGATGCTCCACCGCCCCACCAGTCTGAGTTCACCAGCCGCGCCTGGGGGTTCCAACACTAGCATGTCTTCTCCTTGGGAAAGAGGACAAGGGGCTGCTGTTACAGGAAAAATTCTCCCTCCTCACTGGAAAAGAGCTGAGCGAAAACCCTTTGCCCTCAAAGCATGCGTGCCTGTTTCTCAGCCCATCCCATCCCATCCCTGTGTGCCATTCTTATGCTACATCCTGTTGTTGTCAGTGTAGCATAGAGAGGTGTGTATCCGTTGGCATAGCTGAGGGATGTTGCCTGGGTCTCACCAGCAGACTAGAACACTTAGTTACATTGCAGGGAAATGTCAGCTGATGGGCTGCTCTGTAAGCAAGCCAGGCATGAGGAATCTGCCAAGAATACCTATTGCATTGGCAAGGTTGGATGGATCAGGGAGGAGGAGCCTGTGTGGATAGCCAGGGTAATGAGATTGTGTCGCTAGATCTTTTGTCCCTATTCCTGGCAAGTCTGGGTGCCAGGAAGCTCCTGCCTCATATGTGGAAGGATCTGCCTGAAAATGTGCATGGAAACCAGGAAGCTGGCTGTAATGTTAGATAGGGGAGTTGTCTGCTCCATGCACTATGGCTAATGGTTGCACAGCAGGGTACATGGCTTGGTTGAATAAATGAGAAGCCTACTGGCTCTAGTGGGATGAGACCTAGGTAGCCACCTGCCTAAGCATGGGAATGAACAAGAGCAGGTTGGTAAGGCATGCTGGTGGTAGAGCTCAGCTGTCCTGAGGGATGGCTCTCAGCTTTCTGTATGACAGAGTTGCTTAGGGACCCCTGCTTGGCAGGATGGTTACACAGATTGCTTAGTGTCCCTTGTCTGGCTCTTCTACTCCCTTTGGGGAGGCTGGAAGCTTGCTGCCCTGAGCTCAAGCAGTTCAGCAACTGGCCAGGAGCATGCATTGAGGTGGCATGCCTGGCTGATCCACTGAATGTCTGTGGTGAGCCCAGGCAGTGTGTGCATTGGGAGGGGTGGGATGTATTGGCTTCTCTTTGGCAGGACTGCTCTTGCTGGAAGGGAGTGGGTTGAGGGGGAAAGGATGGGGCACATCTCAGAGGTGGGGCATCATGATCACTTGGTTCTTCCCATGTTTCTTGGTGCCAAGAGGGCCTCGGCAGTATGGAAAGTTCTTGTTACGGAAAAAGCCAAGAGCCATTGTGATAGATCTGGTTGGCCCCATGAACCATTGAGACAATATAGCCTGTGCTTATAGTTTATACCTGGCTGCCGTCCCTTAGTGACTAAGTTGGTGCCTGTACATGTGAGATTGCAGGTCACAGGAGCCTGCAGCAGGGTGACTACTAAAGGCTACCTACGTGGGCTTTCCATTGTCACAGCCAGCTCAGCCTTAGTGCTTATTTGTATTCGTTGCTGAAGGATCAATGCAGCAATTCCTGTAATGTGGAACACAGCCTGGAGACCCATACAAGGAATATCAGTAACAACAAATTAGGCCCTGATGCCTCTGAGATTCATGGAGAGGTGCCTTATTACATTGAGATCAATAAGCCTTCAAGATTGTGAGCCAGGTGCAGAGCTATTGTGTGTCACTGAGGGACAATGGAAGAAACTGAAGGGGAAAAAATGAAATCCTCCCCCTGGCCTTTAAAATCCAGGCCCTCCCTGCCATGCCTGGAAAGGCAGAACCACCCCACATCCAGCAATCTTGCTGATTTACAAGTCTGCAAAAGTCCTGAGCTAGGCCTCCAAAACAGTAAGACTGGCTTGAAATGTGTGAGTTTGGAAAAAAAAAAAATGCATTTTGTGTCTTTATTTGCCTTGGGTTTTCAGTTTTTAGAATGGACTTGTGTCCAGCTTTCAGGCTGTATTTTTAGCTGCATCTTTGCTAGTAAGAACACTAACGCATTTTAGCCCCTCCTATATTGTTTAAAATGACTGCATGTGTGTGTGCTTATGTGTACTGTAAGACAAGTCAAAGATGAATGTGCAGAGTTTTCTTATCTTGCCAACTATACCGCAGACAGTGCGAGAGACTTCCAGAAGGGTCATTGATGTTGCTGAGGGGGAAGTGTTCTTCAGGTGCAGGGTGCTGGCCGTAAAACTCTAATTATTACAAGAGCAGCTTCAGGAAAAAAACTGGTTGGGAGGATGCCTAATCTCTCCCTTGCTTTCAGGTCTCTTTCTTGCCTATTTTCTGCTTCAAACTGGTGGTTTTGAGCTATAGTGAATGAAATGTGCATCTCCAACTGAAAATCCCTTCTGTCATAAACAAAGGAGAAAGATCTTGTTTTTTTTCCTCGAGTGCTGTTAGAGACCACAGCATGCCTGTCTCAGTAGCTGTTCTGATTTGGAGGATAGGCTCTGAGTGGTCTCTATACAGGTGTGGGGCCACATGCACAACAAGGAGGAAGAGCACTCTCCACTGAATAACTGTGGAATTGTAGTGTCATGCGCCAATTGTCTTCTGCGTTACTGGTGTTTGGGAGGATGTGAAGACAGGAGTGAGTACAAAACACTATGCAGGGCAGAACTTGGGCTATGCAACCAGATCCTCTTCTAGGGTTTTCAGTTCTACTCAGTAGCTTGAAATTTAGTTCTCTTTCTGGATTTATGGATGGGGTAAGATGCAAGTACTTCAGGGCTGGGCAGGGTCTTTGCATACTGTCTTAATTAATAGTGTCAGTGCTCAGGTTAATAACTGGACAGTGGCTAGCAAGGGCCTAGGATAATTTTCTGAAGTGTCTACTTGCTGGCTGTCTTCATCTCTCCAGCCCCCTGCCCTGTACTCCAGTAATCACACTTACATCTTTTCCCTTAATTGCCGTTGCTTGATTTATCTCTCTTTCTGTTTTCCTTTTATTTATTTTTTTATTTAAGTGACATGGTTGGTTCTCAGCATTTAATTATCCTCTTGGGAGGTGTTTCAGTTATTCATTAATATGGGAATTGCAGCCATCACTTTTTTTGCTTTATTTCGCTTTTTTTTTTCTATTAAAAAAATATAAACAAACAAATTGGTGTGAGACTGAAACCCCACCCCCAGTCTCATCCTCACCGCTAACTCCTCTGGCTGCCTGCCTTGTGCTGCTTGGCGATTGTCTTGATGGTGGAGATGGTAGGTGGCGATTTTTTTCCTGGCAGGCCAAGGCTCCTTGGAACTAGGAAGGTGAATCATGTCACTGGTCCAAACCAAGTTCTCATGCTGCTGACTTGGGGAGCTACATGGAGACACTGAAACACATGCCAAGTGTTCTGGCGCCAGACTGTCTGGCTCATGAGTGAACCCAAGCTGCTGGCTGGTTCTTGCAGACAGAGTCAGTGTGTATGAAGCCATGTCTCTTCCATCCTGCTGTGCTATAGGCCTGTTGCTTGCCCAGTGTGATGGCACGTAGCTGATGAGGAAAACAGGTATAAAGCCATGCTTCTGGTCACCTTATGTTGTGTGACTTGCAAGGCGTTATAGTGTGTGTGAGAGGGGGAGGGCAGAGAAAGGTAAAGTAATTAGGAAAAGGGGCTGAGGGATGAAGCATGAGGATCTTGGCATCATTGACTACAGTAGTATCCCTTCGCATACAGGTGAGAGGGAAGCCAGACCTCAGAGGAGAACAAAGAAAACCCTTGGCAGATCTGATTCAAGAAAAATAAAAGTCTTAAGCTTCACAACTCGGGCTTAGAGGCAGAAGCAAAGGTCACAGGCCTTGATTCTGAGCCCTCTAACACACCTACCTGGACCTCCCGTTGGAATCAGTAGCCCCATGTCTGTTGCTAAGAAATGTGCTTCTCCAGAACTGCTTTTCTGTATGTGAAAAGCACAGTGACTGGCAGAGAAACTCACGTACATGAAATGAGTTGGCCGCTCACATGCCACACAGGTATGGTGCTAATACTGCGGATGATTTGGGAGAGTGGCAGCTTTTCAGTCAGTCCTGGGATGTGCCAACCAGGAGGGACTTCCTGTTCCTCGCCTCTGTTTTTTCATTGGTTCACTGTATGAATCAATGCCTCTTCTATCCTGCTATGCTGTCCTGTGTTGTGCCCTGTTCCTTCCAAGATCTAAAGCATGAAAATGTTTGCCTAGGAATGTAGGTATATACTGCAGTGTGAGACTGAAGAGAAGAGTGCAGGGAAAATCCCATGAGAGTAGGATGTGGTCTTTCAGGTCCTCTGGGTGTGTGAATAGCTGTAGGTGATGGTGAGGTGTGATACAATGGTCCCTTCTTCTGTCCTAACCTCAGGGCTTCATTATACTTGAATGGATGGAGTTACATTTTTCTCTCTCTAAACTCATTGCACTTGATCCTGGGTTACAGCAAACCCCTCTTCTGCTGCTCTGGCAGTTGCAAGAACCTTAGAATAGAAAGAGCTGCTTTCCTTCTATGACCTTCTCTGCAGCCAGTGCTCTCGACCCATGTGGTGGATTGAGGACATGTAGGGCAAAGAGATCAGGCTCTTAAAGAACAGGGACATCATGCTCAGTGTTTGAAGCCAAATAACTCTATTGGCCATATCCAGCCAGATTGGAGGGCTCTGTAGAATTGGCTAATGCATTAGAGCCCTGCTGAAGCCAGGATGGATGTTCTAGGGGCTGTCCTTACTGTGGTGGTCCCCAATCCCCCAGGTTGCATTGGGATGTCTCCCCTGGACACCCCCAACCTATTGTCTGCTACCTTCCCACAAAACACTAAGTCAATAGCCCTCCT